ACAAGACTTCAAGCATCCCTCACATGAAAGTGAAGCTAAATCAGAACTATGTCCAACTGCTCTAACAGATCTATGAATTCTTTAAAACACGGGAACAGAGCTTCTTCAAAAGCCTGCGTTACCCGTATTTTGCTCCTTAATAACATATGTCTGGCACTAATGAATATCAAAAAGCAAGGGAAGTAAGAATAACTGGCTGTGTCAAATGGCCGGGCCATGATTCCTGGTGGTTTGGCGGTTATGTGATGATGTGGTCAACCTACATGCTGTGATTTTCTGTGGGTATTTTCCAGTTTTACATAGCACTCATTTTTCACATGTTGGCCCAGTCTTTGAAAAGTAGCCATGTCACTAGGTGAGCCACACGTACAAAACCAGCTGAAAAGCAAATACTTTTTTACTTGGATTTCAGGATCACTTTTTTCTTACTTTACTGCTGGCCTGATGAGGAAAGTTAGGTGTTTTGATCAGTAGAGAAAGTGGTCATGGTGCTCATTGGCACTAACTTAATCTACTTTACAAAGTAGAGATTCCTATTTAAAATGAATGCTTTCTCGGTGAATGCATTTCTCTAGCAGCATACATCTATTAAAGCTTCATTTGCTCGGCGGTTCCTTTTGAATACTTGCAGTGCTATGACATTTATTTTTTAAAAGCATGCTTGAAGTTTGTATAGTAACTGAAGTCAAGTCTAATGAAGCGTTCCATTAGTTTTATTACATCATCTCCCAAACTTATCCGGATGTGCTACATACTTAGTATCTTAGAATATTTTTCACAGCACTAACAATTTTTTTAAAATCTCATTATTTTCTTTTCTTACTTAAACACCTAAATCCAAATAACCCATAGGTGTTGCTATTCTAAGGTTGTAGTTATTTGCAAAAAACTATATAAAGTCTGAAAAAAGACAACTTTGAATTCATTATTAAATAGTTCCAATTTCCTTCTAATGTTTATATTCCAAAATATTGAAATCAGATGGAACAATCAGCAACTTCAT